TGCTTTAAGTAAATAAGTAAAATGCTGGTGCATTTTTGTAAAATCTTTGAAAAAACATTTTGAATTAAATTTAGCATTGGGTAATATTTTTATTATGACTATAGTCATAATAAAAATATAATATATTATTGACCTATTATTATTAATATTAAAATTTTACTAATGATAATGATATTTTTTTAGTTTTACTTGAAAAAAGGTTTCACAAACTTTGTGCCACAAAGAAAGTTGGTGATTTTAAGTTTTATGATATTTTGGGTCCAGGACATATAGTTTTAAAACGAAGTTGGAAGTTGGAAGCCATGGGACACCAACCTGAGAACATAAACCAATGGTTTAAAACCATACTTACATTCATGCATGAATTCAACAAAATCTTTGAATAAAGTTGGAATCAGGAAAATATGGAAAACCAACCTAAGAACATAAATCTTAATTACATAATTGCAATACAAACTACAATTAAAGTGGGAATATGAAATCTGCTGTAAACCAATCTGAGAACATAAACAATCTACAATACAAATCAACTCTTATAAATTCAAGCTAATAACTTCAAATGGGACCCAATCTACTATTGAAAAACGTTGGTATTCGAGTTGCATAGTAACTTTTGTAAATAAAAACTGCATGCTATAGCATGTATACAGAATCTTTATTTGAAGAAAGAAGATACTTTTGCAAGATGTTGTTCAGTAGTTAACTCCTGTGAACTACAAACTATAATCAATCAAATTGAATAGGCTTTAAATTATACAACGTTTTCTATGATAAAAATTCCAAAATATGTTAATCCTTAAATTGAATTTTTGTAATGCATTATTTTTTAATATCTTAATAAAAGATATTTTTGCAAGGAAATAATATTATTGTCATTATATTTTTGTAAATACATACTTTTACTTAAAATATATACATATATAATGCATATAATATTATTTAGTTAAGAATATTAGTTTTTTGTTTAAATTTTTATGGGGTAGTATTTTTATTCTTAAATTTGTTTTTAATTCCACTAGATCCTGTACTAACTCTTTTTTTGTAAGATTTTTAGGACTGATACATTTTATGTTGATATTTGACAATTTTTAGGAATGTACAATATTCAAATTTATAAAAACAAAATATGATATAGCCTTTTTCTACAATTGTAATCATTGTATATAGTTTGTACACTTTTAGTCACAGAATATTTTAAAAATCGTATTTTTTCACATAATGCATTAGGATTTTTATTGTAAATAAACAAATGTTTCACTATTTTGTTTTTTTTTTTAATAAAATTAAAAATTATTAAAATAAAATAATAAAAATTTAAAAGCCGGCCCTGGTATGTCAAAATCAATATGAGCTGAGTCCGGCCCATCAACTAGGGGGAGTCATGATAGACGTGTTTCCCTCGTTTAACACAGAGGGCGCACTTCTTATATCCTTTTTCTATGGTAGAAATACCCTAAATACACGTCGCGACGTGTCGGTATGTTATTCCTACATACACAACCATACACCCGGACAACAATCGGGATTTCCTGGTGAAATCATGATGATATCACAACGTGATTTTTTTATCACGCCATGATATCCTGAGTGCATACACATGCTTCATCACAGTGATATCATGTCGAACTCACGGTGTGATATTTGCAAAATTTGCGCATGCGTAATAGCCCTGCGAATTTAAAACCTAGTTTGTTACCTGTTGATTCAACATAACATTTCTCTTAGTGTATGAACGTGGCGCAAAAATGATAATCAAAACACCGTTGGCATAAAAAATCACGACATGATTTTTTATGCTATCGGTAAAAAAATCACGACATGATGTTCGTATGAATATCACGAATAATTGAATTCAATTAAAAAAGGGCAACATTCGTGATATTCATACGAACATCATGTCGTGATTTTTTGACCTATGGCATAAAAAATCACGACATGATTTTTTATGCCATCGGTGTTTGGTCATAAAAAATCACGACATGATTTTTTATGCCATCGGTGTTTGGATATTCATTTTTGCGACACATTCGTACATTGAAAGAAAAAGTATGTTAACAATTGAATTAACAGTTTAACATTCAATATTTTCTTGGATTTAAATTAACTATATATAGTTAATTTAAATCCAAGAAAATATTAAATGTATTTAACCGCAAAAACTGTTGATTCAACATAATTTTTCTCTTAGTGTACGAACGTGGCGCAAAAATGATTATCCAAAAACCGTTGGCATAAAAAATCACGACATGATTTTTTGTGCCATCGGTCAATCGCAAACAGCGATGGCATAAAAAATCACGACATGATTTTTATTTCTCACGCAGTGACATCCGGATGATGTCCGTATGAATAAAATTTGTGAAAATCACGACGTGACGTTCGTATGATTTTTATTTATCAAGCGGTGACTTCCGTATGATATCAATATGAATCAAATTTGTGAAAATCACGACGTGATGTTCGTATGAATATCACGAATGTTGTCCGGGCACATACTATACCAACCGACTTTGATACTTTGGATTGCCCAGCTTCAACCGTAAATTTGTAGAGGGCGTTAGTTTGTATCCCTGGCTACCAGGCAGTGTTGCCAGTCTAGTACAATTGTACCCTACCCTAGTACCCTTGAATCAAAATCTAGTACTTTTTGATATATGGGCCTAAAAATAAAATAACAATTTTTTACCCTACTTAATTAAAATTATTATAAATTTCAAACGGATACACGCAACTATAAGGCGCATTTTATTGAAAGTGGAATGGAATAAAAACAGAATGATTCCCGTTTGCAAATTCATTCTGAGCCCTGTCACTTTGCCAAAGGTTGGGGAATTTATAAACCTAATAACCAATTGTGTGGATTGTGACCTCAATTTTCTTTTTAAAGTTTAAAAATATGGATAACGCACAGTTATTACTTGCTGGGTTTATTATAAACCATAATAGAAACGGTTGTTAAATGCACTTTTTTCAGGGGAATATCCCCCCACTCTGCCTCATTCTAAAGATTCCAAACAAAAGTAAGGAATCATCGGAATGACATTAATGACAGAAGAATCATTCTGTGACTCAAAAAAACAACCATTCATTTAAGGGAGAATAGGGAGAATGGGAAATAAAATGCAGCTATAAATACACATTTAGAAACATTGGGCAGAATGATAATTATAGATGGCGACACCCACCTTGTGGCGAAACCTACTAAACCAACCAACTAAAGAGAGTTGTTGCGCATGACTGTCACTTGTCATTAAAAATTCTGATAGAAACTTTCTGTATTTTAAAAAAAGTGTATATAATTATTAAGTGTATATTAGTATATTAAAGAACTAATGTCATAAGACGTCATTTTGTCGCACGCGGACAATTTATAAAACGAGCGACGAAGGAGCGAGTTTTATAATGGACAAGTGCGACAAAAGGTCTTATGACATGAGTTCTTTATGCTATTTTATCTATTTTGCAAACATTTCATAAAACAAATTAATTTTATACCTTATATTTAATTTGGTTAAATTTTACTTTACATAGTTGGTATCATAGATAACAAAGTTTGAAGTTTGAAAGGTCATTAACCTTTCAAACATTATCACATTCTTTCGCTATGGCGTCGTTAATTTACAATAAGTATTTACAATAAGCGGCTGTTAAAGAAGAAAAAAGGATTTTCTTTGGTGTTAATAGTTATTTATGTATTAAGGGCATAATAAGGTTTTTATGGTCCGAGGCGCTATTTCGAGCCCGAGCGCGTTAGCGCGAGGGCTAGAAAAGCGTCGTAGGACCATAAAAACCAGTTATGCCAGCAATGCATACAAAACTTTATGCACGATTAATTTATTATTATTTTTAATATATTATTGTTTTTAAAGACGTTTACGTCAAAGAATTTTTGTTATAATTGTCATATTATAATGTCAACTGACATCAGTCAGTTTTAAAGTTTAAAGATAAATGAAATTGAGGAAGCAGCTGAAAAGGCGAAAAATTGCGGCCTGCTGCCGGTAAAATCAAAATCTTTATACGAAAAAACTTACTTAGAATATATCAAATGGTGTAACATTGTTGTTTTTAATTTTTGACGTTTCATTATAGCCCGCTGGGCCATAATAACGCCCGCGGGCTATAAAAAGACGTTTACGTCAAAGAATTTTTGTTATAATTGTCATATTATAATGTCATCGTGCATAAACAAAATTTATTACACGAAAAGTCTCGTAAGTACTAGAAAACAAATCATAAAAATATTAAAACCTATAGGTATTCAAAATTGTATTTTACCAGTAGCCAACCTATAAAATCAAAATTTTGGGTGGAATAAAGTACCTCATTAAAGAACCAAAAGCGGTGTTATAATGAAGTCATTATGAAACCAAAATAGATAAAATTATTATATAATATTAATAGAGGGATATTTATTATGGAGAGGTAATTATAAGTACTATTTATAATATGAAAGTAAAGTAGTATTAAATGCAATAACTCTATATTACTATTAAACTAAATGAATAAAAAAAAAATTTCACCCCTCCTTACCTAAAACTTTGTTTTTGAGTTCTGAAAATATGGTACTTTTTTTTTAAATCTGGTACTTTTTTAACTGAAAACTAGTACTATTTGAAAATAAGTTCTGGCAACACTGCTACCAGGATAAAAAATTTAGAGACCGCAAAAGAAAAGCAATTTTTCTGCTGAAGATACGTGTGGTGCTGAGCACCACCATTTTCCTTTACGTGTGGTGCTTGAGCCCGCGAGCACCGCTATTGTCGCCGGCCCTGTCTGCAGATAGGTTAGGTATATGTAGGTACAAAAAAATATGCATTTCTGAAAATTTATACCCCCTTGTTGCTACAATTGCAGACCTTGAGGTCTTCAATATATTAAAGTGATATTTGGTAGTATCTCTTTAAATATTTTTAAGTACATATATTTCTTTTGACAGAATGTTACTAAAACTATTATTTACAATAAAACTATTACAATTATAAATTTGTTGTTTTCAGAGCACAAGGGAATTACTACGCCAAAGCTGGTAATGAAGTTTATAACCCTTAAAAGTATAATAAATTTTAAAAATGTACAATCATACTTATTAATTTTATTCATAATAAACATAAAGATAATCTTATTGATTTATTTTTCCTAATATTTAAGTTTAATTACAATTTTTGTATGGGTAACATTTTTTTGTTTAGTCACGTAAGTTAACAAAAAATTGTTAGTACTAGTCACATGTGAAAAAAACTTGTAAAAAACTGTTTATTTTGCAAAATAAACACGTTTAAAAGTGCCAGAGTTTAATATTATACAAATATATCTTGGTATTAAAAACGATTAAAAATTAAAACTAAGAGTATAAAAAAGCATGGTAAAATTATTACAAACTAAGCAACAGACAGACAAATCATATATCAAAAAGAAACATATCAAAGAAGGCGGTTAAAAAAGCTAAATGATAGTTTGAAAGAGTTTGGGAAAGAAATGTTATTGTTACCTATTGTAAAGATTTCTCCTTACCCCAGGTTCGTTTAAAACAAGTTTTATAAAAAATTGATAAATTAATTATTTTGTAGCTTTGGCTCGTGATCGTCTTACCCAAATTTGGACCTCTACGTTGTGTTTACTTACTTGTTTTATTAAATGCATTGCTTTAAGAATGATACGTGAGAGAACTAGGTTTATAAGAATTAAAATATAGTGGTTTAGTTTACCGCAATTTAATTTACGTTAACTTTTACAAACAAGCAAGGGGTTACTCTTAGGAGGGTTCGGCCAGTGAAAAAGAGCCTGAGAAAAAACCCTGGTCGGCTATGAAGTAGCGAAGGAATACGAGGTCAGGCATTGTACTTTAAAATTTACGGAAATTAATGTATTGGCGATATGGCTCGATACTGCATTTAACAAAGATTTAAAACTGAAGGATATTGGTGTTAGTTAACCGGGCTAAGCCCAGGGTGTAACGAGGTCCACAAGGGAGGCAACTCGCCTATTTTAGTTGAAGGGTCGGGGAAAAGCGATGCAGCCCTAGAGAACCTGTTCCCCTTACGGGAGAAAATATTAGTTCATACAACAAAGGCCCAAGCACCGAGTCATTTCGCAATACATCAATGAATTTAGACTGATCATAAAATAATGCTTAACCACTTTATAGAAAAGGTACAAAATGTTGGGTTAAGCACAAAACAAATTACAATGTTAAATTTGAGCAGTACAAGCATTGTGCATAGCAAATTATTAAAATTGAAGAGATAACAGTAAAAGCGAAAATAGGTGTGGTAACAGCTAACAGAAGAGGGTTAAAAATAACATAAAATTCAGCTAAACGTAATAGTAAAGGATAAATATATTATAAATTAATAATATTATTAACAATTTAAAAATGCACAATATTACGTTCAGTTAATTTTACTACACATTTAGATATATCTCTTTTGTTTGCTTGACAAATTTTCTACCTAAATTTATATTTTTATTTGCATTAAACTAAAATTTTATAACGTAATCCTATTTTAAAATTAAAAATAAAATATATTTATAAACATGTATTATAATAAATTTATAAGGGGTATTTTTACGGAACCATTAAACTTTTATTATGAATTTTCTACTTTCTTTAATAACTATAAAGTTTTACAACTACACAACATGTATTTTAATGATGTTTAATTGACGTAATTTTTTCGAACAAAAGTTACCTATAAATTATTTTATTTTAAGGAATTTTAATGGTAAATTTAACACGTTCGCCGTGCCGTGCGTCATAAAATAAAGCATATATATCCTTCTTAAAATGCGGAAGCAATAACTCAGTCAACTTTAAAGATATTTAAATGTTATTGGTACATATCGAATCCATACTTTATTGTTAATTTTATTCGCCCCAAAATCGTTCATCGTTCATCGTCAAGCAGTGACTTTCGACGATATGCGCATAACCTAATTGTCTTGACAATAAAATTAAACCAAAAAAGTGAAAAAAAGTGTTTTTTTTTTATCTCCAATTATATGTCATAAAATTAATATTTTTCACAAAAAAAAATGATTTTTTGAAATAAAATTAATTAAATGTTGTAAATTAACTATAATAAATTGAATTCGAAAAAAAATGCTTTCAGGACAAAAAAAACACTTTATAATAAAATTTGAAAAAAAAGTTATAAAAAACTTTTTTTAAGTCTTATTTTAAGCCATAAAACTAATATTTTTCACAAAAAAAATATTTTTTTGTAATAAAATGTAAATTTCTGCGGTCGCAGTGAACCTTACAATCTTACAATCTTACAACCAGGGACCCGGACCCAAATGAAATAACGGTTCCTGTCCGGTTCCGAGAGAAACGAGAAATTTCGGTTGGGGTTCAGTTACGGTTCCAAAAAATATATTTCTGTCCGGTTCGGACCAATCTTTTCGGTCCATACGGTTTTTTTCGGTTCCAATTTTTTACCATGTAGGTATAAATAAGTAAAATTATAATATTAAAAATTATTTTTTTTTAATTTTTTTTGGCATTACTTTGCCTATTCTTTTTTTCAAGTTCTTTCAGGTTCTTCAATTTTAGGCTCTTCATTCTCTTTTTCTTTACTTTTATTCTCGATCGGCTTGCTAACTTTATCTTTTTCTTCTGATCTTATACAATTATAATATAAAAAAATTATAAAATTCCTATTTTTATTGTAAAGCAGATATGGAAATTTTTTAACTCTACTTCATAAACAAATTTTTCCAAATCCATGTTTTAGATTTTTCTGTTCAATTTTGTCTGTTTACCAAAAATTTCGGGAAAAGTTACTTCAGGGCGGATCCGTTAATACTTTTTAAAAAGAAAATTGAAAAAACAAAAAACTCGAATGAAGGGTACAAGTTTAACGTACTAAAAGATAATCATCGTTGAATTTAAAAAAAATGGCCGATATATTTTTTTTAATTATAAAAATACATGTATTTATACCTTTTTAATTTGTTGTATATTTTTCACCCAGAATGGTTAAAAAGCTTATTGAACCGTCAAAAAGGGGTCAAAATATTTTCTTGTTTTTTTCTGCGATTTATTTTAGAAAAACCTTACAAACCGTAACTGCTAGAAATTATACATTGAACTATAAGTGACTATAAGTGACCTGGCAATTAATTAAGTTATTTTATGTCCCTGGGGCTGGGCAGCTGCTCCCCTGCCCCCGCTTGGCGACACTCATGGATTTATTTACTTCTATTGTATAATCTTGTTTTTTGTGTATAATGTAATATGTAATTACATATTAATATATGTACATATGTAAATTTCCTGCCTAACAACGGAAATAATAAACTCATTAATGAGACCGGCCTCGGTGGTGTAGTGGTCAGAGCTCCTGGGTACACCATAACTGATCCATTACTTAACTTACACCATAACAACAACACTTACATATACAAAATCAATGGTAATATCATAAAGCATATCATAAATTTTTCCTAAAAAGGGTTTTTCCAGTTTTTCCCTTAAAAACATTAATCAAAATTAAAAACAATGTACTTCAACACTATACACCCTCACCGCCAATTAATTCAACAATAAGAACCAACCCATGAAGGCCTCTGGATCGCTACTGCGAATGAAATGGCGAGCTCTGGAACCAGTGAACTAAAAGGATCGCTCATAGTACAACAAGGGCCAAACACCAGCCAGGGATCCACGAGACGCCGGTCAACCGTACCGGGGAATCTGGGCACCTTACATCTTGATTGAAAGCATACTGGTCAGCGCTATGCTTATCCAACATTGCTTCGATTGATATATATAATAAAATGTATTTTTATATTCTTTTTGTTATATGTAATTGTGTATTATGAACCAATCCATGTATTTTTATTCTGTGATAACTTGTAAATAAATTCATTTGATTTGATTTGATTTGATTTGCTCCTGGGTACGAGCCGAGAGGTCGTGGGTTCGAATCCCACTTGGGTATGGTTGTTTATTTGTGTTTGTCCATTGTGTATAGTCCTTCGGAGGGGACTTTAAACCGTCGGTCCGTTCCTACCCCTAACCCGCACAAGCCATTCAGTTGGCTTATGGGACATCTTAGTTTGGATGTAAGGGTGGAACTAAAAGAGCACTTTATAACTTTATAACTTTATAGTTTATTATTCCCGTCGTTAATAATTACACAAGTATACACGGTTTTGGACCTGAGCAACCAAAAGTTGTTTTTAAGGTTACTTGTGGCGCTGAATCCAAATCTTTACTCCGTTTATTAAGATTGGTTCTAGTCTTCGAGATAGTAAATAAATTAAATTTGTACGATCTTTGGCAGTTTTATTTATTTTATGGCAATTAAAAGTAATAAATTAGAAATGAAGAGCGGTGGAACTAAGTCTTTTATATTGTTTTGGATCCGTTTCACGCATTTGAGTCCAACAGTACTCGCTCATCATGCGTTCATCCCAAAATTCTTGGTATATCCTTTCAATGTTTGCGAGATCTTCGTGTAGCCGCTCTCCCTGTTTGTCGCTTGTATCGCCCAAGTTTTCAGGGAAAAAATCGAGGTGGGAATGGAAGAAATGCATTTTGTAGACATCCGAGATCCAATCTTGCGGTAATTTTGCAACAAAGTGCAGATGATTTGCTTAAAATCCGGGGATTTGCGGTTACCAAGAAAGTTGTGAAGAACACTTCGAAAAGAGGTCCATGCTGCGCTTCATCAGGCGTTAAACATTTTGTTTAGTTTCCGTCGGTCATTAATTTTCGAATATCAGGTCCGACAAATATTCCTTCTTTGATTTTTGCGTACAACAAATTCGCAAACAACTTGATTAAGCACTGAAAAGCCAGCCCTTCACCTGCGAGAACTGAAAAACTAGAACCAATGTTGCTAAACGGATTTAAGATTCGAATTCAGCGCATCAAATAACGTCAAAAATCGTTGTTATCTGCTCGGGTCCAAAAGTTGGCCGGAATTTGTAAACTTGTGTTATTAATGTTGTTAGACATGATTTGAACTAATCGGGTTTTAAATTGGGCGAAGGCGTCTATAATAATATTTATTTCCACCTTCTCAGTAAATGACATTTTATAGGATAATTTTGAGGTTTTTGTAACCAAGTAAACGATACATTATGGGAACAGACCTGTAATATTTTACGGGCTTGTTTAAAAGACCTGTAAA